CTCTATCTTTCTCCCTCTCCCTCTCTCCCTCTTTCCCCCTCCCTCTCCCTCTCTCCCTCCCTCCCTCTCTCCCTCCCTCCCCACTCTCCTTCCCTCTCCCTCCGTCTCTCTCTCCCTCCCACTTCCTCCCTCCCTCCTTCCCTCTCTCTCCCCTTCAACTTCTCAAGAGATCCTTATGACTTGCCCATTTTCCCTTTTACAAGCTTGTTTCTAATCTGCTTTTTTGTATGTGTGTGTGTGTGTGTATATTGTACCTCTAGACGGTTCAGACAAGCTAATCTGATTTTGTGCACAAGGGACGATTTGGGGGGGGGGTAGGTGGCCAGCTGCCAAAGAGCTCACTGCCTTTTTTTAAAAAAAAAAAATTGTAATTTTAGATAGCAAACAGTGTTTCAGGTTTGAAAATTGGGATGCATTTGGGTGAAACGCAAGGGGGAAATACCCGCATGATCTGAAGTGCAGAGATTTCCAGTGAATGTTGAGAGTGGCTCTTGTGAAACTTTCTGGCTTAGCTCACGTTGCTTAGGCACTGTCAGTCAAAAACACTTGAGGACTAGCCCCTTGGAATTTGTGGAAGGCGTTTCTTAAAAATGCCTTCCCAGCGTGGAAACGGTTAGCCTTCCATTTGAGCGTCTCTTGGTGCTAAAAAAAAAAAAAAATCCTTACCAAAATTTCTTTACTGTATTGTTTAGTGGTTATTGTCTGGTTTTCATACGAGATCCTATGGATTTTCTTCAAGGCCATCCTTATGCTCTATTAAAAGCCCAATTGTTAAGAGCCTTGGTAGTACAGTGGTCTAAGGCACCCTGTTATTAAGCTGGTTATTAAGACCAGCTGCCTGCAATGACTGCAGGTTCGAATCTCGCCAAGGCTCAAGGTTGACTCAGCCTTCCATCCTTTCTAAGGTAGGTAAATTGAGGACCCAGTTTGTGGGGGCAATAAGCTGACTTTGTATAAAAATATACAAAAGGATGAAGGCTATTGCTTAGCGCATTGTAAGCCGCCCTGAGTCTCCGGAGAAGGGCGGCATATAAATAATAATAAAAAAAAATGGTTACGTAGGGAGACACCGTTCTATTCGTAAGGATTTCCCCCCCACTTTAAGCAGTCTTTGAGGAGAGTGTTTGTGTCTTTCAATTTCGAGAAAGGAAATCCTAAGAATTAATCATCTCGTTTATAGTTTGAGACTCTAGAAAAGAGTGCAGAGAAGAGCAACCAGGATGATGAGGGGACTGGAGGCTAAAACTAATATGATGAACGGTTGCAGGAACTGGGCATGGTTAGTCTAGTGAAGGGAAGGACCAGGGGAGACAGGATAGCATCTTCCAATATTTGAGGGGCTGCAGCAGAGAGGAGGGGGTCAACTTCAAGCTATTTTCCAAAGCACCCAAAAGCCAGACAAGGAACAATGGATGGAAACTGAACAAGGAGAGAGATTCAACCTGGAAATAAGGAGACATTTTCTGACAGTGAAAGCAATCAACCCATGGAACAGAAGTTGCCTTCAGACGTTAGCTAGTTAGTTGGTTAGCTTCCATCCATTGCTTCTTCTCCAGCCTTCAGGTGCTTTGGAGAATAGCTCTTCTTTAATGCACATGAGTATTTTCAACCGTGGTTGTCCAATCTCTTCTTAAAAACCTCCAGCACTTCTGGAGACAAGTCGTTCCACGGGTCAGTTGTTCTCACCATTAGGAAACTCCTCCTGAGTTCTAAGTTCTCTCCTTGGTTAGTTTCCATCCATTGCTGCTTTCCCTGCCTTCAGGTGGGGAGAATAGGTTGACCTCCATCTTCTTTAGAGCGCTTGAGTATTTTCAACCAGGATGGGAGTTAAGCTGGCTAGCCACAAGCTCGACCGGCCTCCTCCTATGCCTATTACGTTGATGGCAGCTTTTCGCTGTCCTGCATGCAGAGGTATTGATTTGCATGATGAACAGGAACCGATAATCGCCTCAAATTAATCCTCTAAACTCCTCCGCAGACATATTTATTTATTTATTTGCCTAATGCACCTCAGAGGTGCTTCTAAGGCTACGATAAGCTTTTAAGAATTACTGGCCTTCTGGGACGCGGATCAACCCGTAAACCAGCTGCCTTCTCTCACCTGCGAATTAGTCTGGGCCGTAGTAACCTTCCGACTTTACGCTTGCTTCGAAAAAAGGGGGTGGTGAAAATTCGAAAAAAGGGGGCCTCCTCGGGAAAGGAGGACTAATAAGAAGGGAATTATACCTCGTGGGAATTCCGCGGATGACTTCTTGAGGTGCGTTGGGGCCTTTTTGGGAGGGATAATATTTTTGTCTGAGATGTCCGCGTTCACATCCAAGGTGATGACCGATTATGCGCGGTGCTTAAACTTTGGTCAGGACGCAGTGCGTTTGTCGTGTCGTGTCACGGAGGGTTGCTGTTTAGAAAGGAGGACTTGTAAAGTAATTTACCCAAGATATTATTCCAGACACAGGGACGCGGTGGCTCAGTGGCTAAGACGCTGAGCTTGTCGATCGAAAGGGCGGCAGTTCAGCGGTTTGAGTCCCTAGCCCCGCGGAACGGGGTGAGCTCCCATGACTTGTCCCAGCTTCTTCCAACCTAGCAGTTCGAAAGCACGTAAAAAAAATGCAGGTAGAAAAATCGGGGCCACCTTTGGTGGGAAGGGAACAGCGTTCCGTGCGCCTTTGGCGTTGAGTCATGCCGGCCACATGACCACGGAGACGTCTTCGGACAGCGCTGGCTCTCCTGCTTTGAAACGGAGATGAGTCGGGAACGATTAGCGCCTATGTGCGAGGAGAACCTTTACCTTTACTATTCCAGATAGTATCCCTTTTTATCTCTCTCTGGATCAAGTGAGTAAGATGGCCATGGGTTTACAATGCACACATCCTTGCCTCTTTCCCAATTTTTGTCTGATGAAGGAGTTCTGGAAAATTTAGCAGCCTACGGATTTGGGCTGGTTTTCATTCAGATTTGGCAAGTTTGGGAACTTTTTATTTATTTATTTATTTTGTTCCCCTCCTCCCCCTCACTGGGATTGGCAAATAACACGATCCTTTTTTGTCCTGCGGAGTGAAAAGGTGCAATCTTTAATCACACCTCTTCAGAATCACGTTTTGCCTTCCTGTTTTCTCCTTCTCCTTCTCCTTCTCCTCCTTCTCCTTCTCCTTCTCCTCCTTCTCCTTCTCCTTCTCCCTCTCCTTCTCCTTCTCCTTCTCCTTCTCCCTCTCCCTGTCCTTCTCCTTCTCCTTCTCCTTCTCCTTCTCCTTCTCCCTCTCCTTCTCCCTCTCCCTGTCCTTCTCCTTCTTCTCCTTCTCCTTCTCCTTCTCCTTCTCCCTCTCCCTGTCCTTCTCCTTCTCCTCCTTCTCCTTCTCCTCCTTCTCCCTCTCCCTGTCCTTCTCCTTCTCCTCCTTCTCCTCCTTCTCCTCCTTCTCCTTCTCCTTCTCCTTCTCCCTCTCCTTCTCCCTCTCCCTGTCCTTCTCCTTCTTCTCCTTCTCCTTCTCCTTCTCCTCCTTCTCCCTCTCCCTGTCCTTCTCCTTCTCCCTCTCCCTCTCCCTGTCCTTCTCCTTCTCCTCCTTCTCCTTCTCCTTCTTCTTCTTCTTCTTCCTCCTCTTCCTCTTCCTCTTCTTTTTATTTTCCTTTATCCTGGAAGTTTGCAGAAAAGGATGGTCTGTTGTTTTTTTAGACGGTCTTTAGCAAAAACGCCACTTGATTCTGAAATGGTGAATCAACACCGTAAATCGGTGTTGTGTATTCAGGAGCATGGAATGCCATTTGAGTGACAGCACTGAGGAATGCGATGTGGGGTTTTTTTTAAAAAGCATCTCCGTGAATGTCTCCTCTTGCGCATGTTGGAATATTGTGCACTTTGTGGGGTTGTTGTTGTTGTTTTTTATTGTCGGTTCCCTTTAAACAACCAGATCTTGTGCAAGGTGTTTGAAAATGCAAAAGAGCTGTGCAAATTTTCAACCGAATTCCAAGGATCAGTTATTAACTGCGGCTGTGCTTTGCACAAGTACCTTTGCTCTTTGAAAAAACAATTTGGGTTAAACTGTCCTCTGTGGATAGTTAAAAATGCAGGGTTTGTTTGTTTTTTGTTTTTTAAAATATGTTTTTGTTTGACATGTGAACTGCCCCCCCCTCCCGTCTTTGGGATTTGGGTGGCAAATCAGTTGAACAAATAAATAAATAAATAAATAATAAATATATAAGGCCTGCAGCTGTTTTTTCCCTACCTCTCCAAGTTGAGTCAGTTTCCTCCCCCCTCTCCCTCCCCCCCCGGTGAATTCTGTGAAGTCCAAAAGGGGTGGAACAATTAGACTACGGTTCCCATCATCCTCAAGCAGCGTGGCAGATGGTTCTGTGGGAAAAGACACGGCGTGTTGGATGGGAACCAATTTGGAAATGTCTTTTCCTTCTTCCTTTTTCGGTCGGTTTCTCTCTGAGAATTGGGTGAGGGGTTTAATCTTTTGGAGAGCCCCCCCCCTTCCCCCCCATATTCCGGACGTCCTTCCCCAGATCCCAGTTCCACAATTCCCCGGCCTTCTCTAAATCAATCCCTTGTTTGCAGCAAGTGGATTTTCCTTGACAAAGGAGGGGAGGGCTGGAAGAAAAAAAAAAGAAAAAAAGAAAACCTTCGCACAATTCCCATTTCCTAAAAATTGGCCGGAAAGCAAAAAAAAAAAAAAAAAAAAAAAACCACTCTCCGTCTCCAATCCACATGGCAGCGAAGAATCAAAAAATTCCCTGCTCGCTTTTAAACGCACGATTCGGGTTGTGCAATGAAATTAAAAACAGGCTGCTGGTGCGCAAAGGGAAGGGGACGTACACAAAAGCAGAGCGGGAAGGAAACTTGCAGATTACAGGGCTTAGTTAATCCTGGAGGGGTGCAGCGGAGAAGGTTAAAGGGGGGTGGGGAGAGAACCAGACAGACACACACGCACTCCCCCCCCCCCTTTCCGGAGAAGCGTGAGATGCTGATGTGAGCCTTTTTTTCTCCTTCTCGCTCTTCTTCACAGCCAAAACGGTGACCTCACTTCTTTCCTCTCCAACCTTCACCAGAGCCGGCAGTTCGGCATGCCCGAGACGCAGAATCGCTGCGAGTTCAAAAGAAGCAGCCTCGAGGTGGGCTTGGGAGCAGCAGGTAAGTGGCACATAGGAACACGGCGGGGGTCTCCTCTCTCTGTGTGTGTGTTTGCACGTAGGTGTGTGTGAGAGAGAGAGAGAGAGAAAGAATTGCATGGGAAACCTAGCTGTGGAAATCTGCTCCTGGATTCAGCCACCTGTGTGTGTTTCGACCGTCGTGCCGTGCCGGAGAAGCTGAACAGCCTGCGGGGGAGTTTGGCAAGCAGCGGTGCAGAACGAGGGCTTGGTGGGTTGTGTAATTTCATTAATCAAAAGCCGGCGGTGTGCGGAGGGCTCACCCAGGCTCCTTCCCTCCCCCTCTCCCTCCTTCCTCCCTCCCCCTCTCCACATTTGCACCTTCTGCTGCGGGCTGACCTTTTCGGGCGCTTCGCTGTCTGGCGGCAGAATTGGGAGGGGGGGTAGAATTAAGGGGGAGACGGAAAGGTCGGGCTCTTTCTCCCCCCCCCCCCACTGGAGAAATGAGGAGCCCGGGTGGCAGGCAAGCGAAGGTGCCCTTCAGCCGAACCGGCGAGCCCAGAACCTTCCCTGCAAAGCTGGGCAACACTGAGACCCAGAGATAAATCCAGAAACGCTCCGGATTGATTTATAGAGGATACGATTGTCCCCGTTGTTGTTTTGAAAACATTTTTTTTTATATATTTTCCCAGGAGCGATTGGCTCAGGTTGAGAAAGAATTTGAAACTTCTGAAAGAAAGGCCTGATTTAGAAGACCCTCTGTCCCCTCCTCCCCTCCCCCCCCCCAATTGTGTAAATAGAACACATTTTTGACCCAATCGCATCCTGCTAAACGCTCAAGGCTGGAACAAAGTCTGTTTTGTTATCTTGGGTGCCCCACTAGCAAACTTTAAAGGTAAAGGTTCCCCTCGCACATATGTGCTAGTCGTTCCTGACTCTAGAGGGGCGGTGCTCATCTCTGTTTCAAAGCCGAAGAGCCAGCGCTGTCCGAAAACGTCTCCGTGGTCATGTGGCCGGCATGACTCAATGCCAAAGGCGCACGGAACGCTGTTCCCTTCCCACCAAAGGTGGTCCCTATTTTTCTACTTGCATTTTTTAAGTGCTTTCGAACTGCTAGGTTGGCAGAAGCTGGGACAAGTCATGGGGGCTCAACCCGTTATGCGGCGCTCGGGATTCAAATCGCTGAACTGCCAACCTTTCGATCGACAAGCTCAGTGTCTTAGACGCCCCAAACCCCAAAATGTATACAGAGGCACGTCCTCTACTCATTTTAGTTTTTGAGGATTGGGCAAGAGGGACAGGGGTTTCATCCAGAAAGTGGAGAGACCCCCCCCCACTTCGAAGTTTGCAGCGTCTGTCCTGTCCCTTTGCTGCGGAAATTTTTACCCACCTATTTTTTTGGTTTTTTTTTTAAACCAAATACACGGAGAAGTCTTCCCTTTCCTTCCCTCTAAGAAGATGTTGGATAACCATTTGTTTGAAGTGGTGTAGGGTTTCCTGCAGGGGGTTGGACTAGAAGACCTCTAAGGTCCCTTCCAATTCTGTTATTCTATTCTATTCTATTCTATTCTATTCTATTCTACTCTACTCTACTCTACTCTACTCTACTCTACTCTACTCTACTCTACTCTACTCTACTCTACTCTCTTCAATCCACTTCCAAACTCATTTTTCAGCTCCTTCCAAATGTGGCCTGATTTCTCAGGACCTAAAAAAAAATGTTTGAGCCTCTCCAGGTGACAGGCCTGTCTGTTTCCATCCAGGTTATCTTCCTGACAGTCACCATTAACTTTGGTTTTCAGGGCTGTTTAAGGAATGATTTGGTTCAGGGCTTATGCTTGGATGGAGGAACTCCAAAAATGGCTTATATGTGGAGTGTAGCATCCTGGGAGGGTGTCTGAACACTAAGAGGCTCCCCAGGTTAGGGAAAAGAAAAGATTCCCCCACATTTCGATGGGGAATAAGGGATGAGAGGAAGGAAGGGCCATTAAAAATACCTCCGACCCCCAGTACCGTGTTTCTCCGAAAATAAGACCCAACCGGAAAATAAGCCCTAGCATGATTTTTCAGGATGCTCGTAATATAAGCCCTACCCCCAAAATAAGCCCCAGTTAAGATCGTCAGCCGACAGAGGAGTTTAGTACCGTATTTCCCCCAAAATAAGACCCAATGAGAAAATAAGCCCTAGCATGATTTTTCAGGATGCTCGTAATATAACCCTACCCCAAAAATAAGCCCCAGTTAAGATTGTCAGCAGACGGAGGAGTTTAGTACCGTATTTCCCCCCAAATAAGACCCAACCGGAAAATAAGCCCTAGCATGATTTTTCAGGATGCTCGTAATATAAGCCCTCCCCCAAAAATAAGTCCCAGTTAAGACCGTCAGCAGATGGAGGAGTTTAGTACTGTATTTCCCCCCAAAATAAGACCTAACTGGAAAATAAGCCCTAATGCGTCTTTTCAGCTCTGTTATTCTTCCTCCTCCCTCTCCTGAGATTCTTCTGGGTTTGGGGAGGGACCCACCTCTTTAAAAAGGGGGGAAACCCTGGCGATGGGGGTGGCCTCAGCCTCCGCAACTCTCATCTCGAAGCAATAATGGTTCAACATGAGGCAAGACGAGTCCTATTCTTCAGGAATCGAGCCAAGCTGCCTTCGGGCCACGGTCCTGGATTATCTTTGCGCTCCGTTTTGGGTTGTTGTTATTATTATTATTTTTTAAAAAAGTGCATCCTGCTAATTGCACAAACATCCATCTTACCAAGGACTCCGATGGCTTTTGGCATCATTTAACCTCACCCCACCCCACCGCCCCCCCAAAAAACTCCAGCCTGCAAATGGAAAACAGACTCCTTGAGGCCAGAGTGCACCCCCTCCCCAGCCTCGTGAGCTCATGGAAAAGAGGGGGCTGGAGAGAGAGAGAGAGAGAGAGAGAGAGAAGAGAGAGAGACGATGCTGATAAAATCTAATTGCTGCATCGATTTTGCACTCTCGGAGCTGCTGTCAATGATTGAGGTGTTCTTAAGATCTCTGATGCAACACTTAGCTGTTTCTCACTCAACCCGGCCCACCAGGGACCCGGAGGTATTACCGGCATCTCTTAATCATGGAGTAAGGCAGCGTGCAGTTAAGATCAACCTTCCCTTTCTCACCTAACTGCTCCAGTGCTGCCTTTTCTCCAGTGTTGCGAAAACCTACATCACCATTAGAGGGCAGGCGAGAGAGACGGAGGCGCAGGAAATGCCACCTCTCCGCTGCCCTCTGCTGGTGGTTGGTGGGATTCTCGTAGCCATTTTTTTTTTTTTTGATGTCTTGTAGGCCACACTGTCTTTTTGGTGGCAGGGACTGTTCGTGTCGAAGATTGCAGTTTCTGGAGAGGAGTGGGATGTGTAGAGTTAAAAAGCGGCCGCTAACATTGACTGGGTAATAAAAAAAATCCGCTCCGGGGTGGGGGTGGGGAGAGCAGGGAGGCTAAATTAAATTATCCACTCTTTCCTTCCAGTCCAGTGATTCAATATTTCAGCTCGTCCGGCTGGCTTCTGCTTCCGCAAGCGGAACCCGCTTCTGTAACCCTTCACACATCCAGATGTTGTGTCTCTCCTTCAAGCCTTCCTACTTCTTACTCCAGAGTAAAAGGAAAGACGCTGTAATGCGGTTTCCCCCTCCTGTAATTGATCTGAAATTGGCAATGCACGGAAGGGAAGCGTAGGGAAATGAGGGGAGACCCCCGCCTCAAAAAAAAAAAAAACCCCACCAGGCTCTGGGTCTATAATTTGCAGAGTTGGTTAAAAGGCCAGCTGGGAAAGAAGAGAGGAGAAGGAGAAGGGAAGCCTAGTGATAGCAGCAGGAATTTGAATCTTTGTGGGAGGGAGGTGTGAGAGCAGAATTCCGTCTGAAAATAGAATAGAATAGAATAACAGAGTTCGAAGGGACCTTGGAGGTCTTCTAGTCCAACCCTCTGTTTAGGCAGGAAACCCTACACCACTTCACACAAAGGGTTATTCAATCTCCTCTTTAAAATTTCCAGTGTTGGAGTATTCACAACTTCTGGTGGCAAGTTGTTCCACTGATTAATTGTTCTCTCTGTCAGGAAGTTTCTCCTTAGTTCTAAGTTGCTTCTCTCCTTGATGAGTTTCCACCCATTGTTTCTTGTCCTGCCTTCTGGTGCTTTGGAGAATAGCTTGACTCCCTCTTCTTTGGGGCAGCCCCTGAAATATTGGAAGATGCTATCATGTCTCCCTGAGTCCTTCTTCTCATCAGACTACACATACCCAGTTCCTGCAACTGTTCTTCATAAGTTTTAGCCAGTGGTAAAATCTGATTTTTTTTACTACCAGTTCTGTGGGTGTGGCTTGGTGGGCATGACAGGGGAAGGATACTGCAAAATCTCCATTCCCACCCCATTCCAGGGGAAGAATACTGCAAAATCTCCATTCCCTCCCCACTCCTGGGGGAAGGATCCTACAAAATCCCCATTCCCTTCCTACTCCTGGGGGAAGGATACTGCAAAGTCCCCATTCCCTCCCCACTCCTGGGGGAAGGATACTGCAAAATCCCCATTCCCTCCCCACTCCTGGGGGAAGGATACTGCAAAATCCCCATTCCCTCCCCACTCCTGGGGAAGGATACTGCAAAATCCCCATTCCCTCCCCACTCCTGGGGCCAGCCAGAGGTGGTATTTGCCGGTTCTCCGAACTGCTCAAAATTTCCGCTACCGGTTCTCCAGAACCTGCTGGATTTCACCCCTGGTTTTAGCCTCCAGTCCCCTTTAATCATCTTCGTTGCTCTTCTCTGCACTCTTTCTAGAGTCTCCATATCTTTTTTTACATCGTACATAAAACAGATCACCTTTTTAATGATTTATTCCCCGTTCAATGCAGGCTTTGGTGTTTCTTTTCTTGGTGTTTCCAGGTGTACCAAGTAGAACCTTTTTTTCTTAACCTGAAGAATTGAAGAAGAAAATTTCTGGCTTCTCGTCGCAAAATTCCCGTGTAAGACGACGACGGGATGTAAGGCAATAGTCTTGGCAGGCAGGGATAAGGCTGTT